AGCCAAGAATCTGAAAACTCAGATGATTCCTTCAAATCTGCGAGTGAAGGGGAAGACTGGGTCTTCTGATTCTGAGAAGGTTCAAAATCCCCCTTTAGAGGTATGCTCCGTTTTGGTTGAAAATCTGGATAATAGGTTTGTACAAGTTGGGTCTGTTATGAATGTGGAAATACCCGAGTCAAGAAGGAGAGGAGGTAAAAATAAAAGTGAAAAAGAAAAGGAGAGTGAGGGTGTAAGCAGCAAAGTGAGGGGAAAAGGGATAGAAGTGGCTGATTCTTCACCCACCTCTGAGATGGTTAGAACAGCTATTTGTGGGGCTGAGGATGAAGTTGTAGTAGAAAGCAGCAAGAAGATAGGGGAAAGTGGATCAGGGGAGGCTGCTGAAGGGTTGGTCAATTTAAGTTCACATGTAGATGAACCNCCCCCCTCACGGAAGGCTCCAAATTATTTGACCAAAAAGTGTTAAACCCTTTTCAGTTAAACCAATTTTAATGAATGAATAAGGGGTGAATCTAAGTTAAAAGTAATAAATCCTAGATCCGAAATTTAGCAACTTAGATGGTGTGAACCGTGTTCTAATCAACAAAATGCCGAGTTAATTATCAATTATTAGATATAAATACGAGAATGAATGTATGCCATAAATGTGGTAAGTGGCATTTAATGTAATAAGAAGCAATAAGTCACCCAAATGTTGGATGCGGTGGATGATTCCTTCTTCAGAGACAACGTGTGACAGCATGCAATAGTAGTGAATAATGTGCCCTCGGATCTTGTGAAATAAAGAAGAATGTTGTATGATGGAATCAAGCAAAAGAGACAATACAAGATTTTTGTATATTCTTGATAGTTAACTCTTTTACAGAAGTTTCAAATCCCTTTTGTTTCTTTTCTCTTCCTATTTATAAGGGGTATCCTTAGAAAACCCTAAAAAGTACAAAATGGGAGAATATTCAATAGAATATTCCTCCTCGCAACCCTAGGAACATGAAAACTGTTGCGTTTGTTTGCTCTCTACTCGACATCGGTGCCGGTCTCTCCTTTTGGGCGACTCCTCGCCACTGAACCATACTCGATTTCGACCTCGACCTTATCCCGTCCATCTGCATTCGCTAAACCAGATCTAATTTTAACCCTTACAAGCATGATGGCCTTTTAGCTTAAATGCAGCTCGATCATAGGCTTGCGGCCTCCTTTTGCGGTTTCAAATGTTCCGAGCCATAACCGGGCACCTTCCCTCCTGGGATCACGTATCTCTAGCTCGAACTTCCCCGACGGCCGCCTATGAATGCCGCAGTACTTCACGTCGCCCTTTCCTTTGTAGCCACCTTCATTCTCTTGCATGGCTTTCTTTCCGTCACAAGAACTTTCCTTTATGATATACTCTATGTTTTGTTTTTCCTTTTTATAGTAAGCTAACAATAGTCTAAGATTTGGTAGCACAGGAAAACAAAAGTCTAAATAATACATAGGCCTCAAAGACAGTTGAATCTAACGTCTTAGATGAAGTTTTTATTTTTACCTACTCCTTTTGAATTTCTAGCTAATTACTTTATGCTAATTTAGTACTACTTTGTAGTAAAATATTAACCTTTGAATGAAAGTTTCTTCAAAGTCATAATCAAACTCGATTAATCGTTTTTTTATTCATGTAAACTAGGTAGTGTGAATTAATCATGAATGTATTTTTAATTAAGCCAATCACCTAGGTTTTCACCTCCTGTGGTGTTAGGGGATGTGGCGAGACCCCTACCTTGTCTATACCAACCAAAAAGGTACATAGGAGGGGGACATTGACCTAAGCTCCTTCTAATCCTGAAGAACATGAGGGGTTACAAATATTTACATCCCACTCATGTTCAACTACCAAAAGAATCAACTTACAAAGAAATTATCTTTGTCGTGCCTAATTCTAAAACTAGGTAATTGCCACCTATCTAGTTGAAAAGGCCCTTTTATATTTTTTTGAGAGTTGTTGGAAATGGTAAATGAAAGAACTTTCGCCCCAAATAGCAGCATTTTTGGCAAGCATGTCGGCTGCTTGATTTTCTTCCCAATTGTAGCAGTGTGCAATATTAACATATGTTTGCGTAAGAATCTGTCCAGTTTATGCGACCGGCTTCTTGAGTTTGAGATTATTTTTGTTGCCTTGTATCAACATGTTGACAATAATCTGTGAATCTAACTCCAATTCAATGTTGTTGTATCCTTGGCGGACGGCCCATTAGATTCCTTTTTTGCAGCCATAGCCTTAGCGGTATTGTTTGTATTACACGGGACGGGTAGAGACAAAGCCACGATCGGTTCACCTTGTTCGTTCCTGACTATTCTCCCTTTTCCTGCTTCACATGTTTCCTTGAAATATCTTCCAACTGTATATCACTTTGATCTTTCCAGGAGAAGGTTTCTGCCAGCTAATTTGTAGCATTCTGGAGGTTGGTCTCCATCTTTCAATCTTTTCACAGAACCTTGGCCAAGACTCTAGGTCATATCTAGATCTGCTTGTATGGCCCAGTTTATGTGCATTTCCATGCTCCTGACTTGAAATTTATTTTGTTCACCATACCTACTTGAACTCCAACTTATCCATATTTCCCAACACTCGGCCAAAGGGATAGCTCGAAGAATGAATTTGCGAATGTTGTTTTCTGATTTTGCGTCCCACCAGTTTTTAAAAATTCTCCTAATACTCCAGCTTTCATGTTTGATGCCCAGGGGGCTCCAAAAGCTTGCCAAAATCGTTAAACCGCTTCTCCTTCTATGAAGACATGTTGCATTGAGTCTTCCTTAGGATTGTTACAAGACTTGCATCTGGAAATAACATGGTTACCAAATTTAAAATAACTTCGTCAAAAGGAAGCTTACCAAGATATAGTCTCCAAGCGAAGAAAGAGATTTTGAAGGGAATGCAATTGAGCCACATGTTGTGAAGAGGTGGATTCTTCGATTTTTTACTCCTTATGGTATACCAAGCACTTTTGTTGGAATATTGACCATCTGTTGAGGCATCCAATGCACAGTCTTCTTTTGTCTGATCTCCACTTAAATGGCAATAATGTGTAAAGCAAACTGGTCGTTGAGAGTGTTGATAAGTTTGTCCATATCCCAGTTGCCCTCTTGAATGAATTCCTTAACTGTAGTGTTTTTTACTCTTTCTGCCATTTGGAAAAAGCTTGGCTAATGCCCCTTTGCCTGACCAGTTATCCCACCAAAAGCTGTTATTGCCCTCGTTAATATTCCAAATCATGTTTTCTTCCACTTTGTCTCTAATATGGGTCATATGTCTCCAAGCATGTGAGTTATCTGAGCACTTTTTTTTTACAAGGTGAGATCTGATGCTTTTAGCTCTAAGGTGGGTTGCCCATAGAGTATTTTAAGTTCTAAATCTCCACCACCTCTTCATGGCTAAAATATAACTAATATCCTCCATAGATCTTATGCTAATGACACCTTCTTCTTTTGGGAGGCACATGTTCCTCCAAGAACTCCAATGATACTTCTTTTTATCCGCTGAAGTGCACTAGAAGAACCTAGCCAAATACTTGTCAATCAAATTTAGGGTGACCTTTGGAGGATTCATAGCAGAAAGAGTGTAAATAGGGAGATATTGAAGGACACTTTTAATAAGTACCATCCTACCACCAGACGTAAGAAGCCTGCCATGTCACCCATTCAATCGCTTAGCCACTTTTGTCACCATTGGGTCAAAGTGAGAGAGTTTTTTTCTGCCCACATATAAGGAGCAGCCTAGATAGTTAAAGGAAAAACTTTTTTCCATGAAGCCCGTAACTGCTCTCATCCTGTTGATTATCTGTGCTCTTGCTTTCGGGTCCGTGAGAAAGAAAATTTTGTCGCCATTAACCTTTTTCCCTAAGGCTCTCTCATAGTTGCTTACTTTTTGCATAATCAATCTGACTGATTTGTTATTGGCAACATTGATGATTACAATATCATCTGCATAAGCCAAGTGGTTGATAGGATGACATCTTTGATTCATGTAAAAAGGAGTGAAATTTGGATCAGAATGAAGCTTATTCAAGGATCTGGATAGTACTTCTACAGCTATGATAAACAAAGAAGGTGACAGAGGGTCACCTTACTTCAGCCCTTGTGAAGATGTAAAGAATCCTCTCTTAATCCATTAATAACAATTGAATACCAGGCTTCAGACACCAACCTCAAGATGATATCTATCCATGTTTCCGCAAATCCAAACTTTCTCATAACAGAAGCTTAAAAGGTCCAAGACAATCTGTCATATGCCTTGGCCATGTCTAGCTCGATTACCATGTTACCACCTCTGTTGTCTTTGTTAATTCCTTGTATAATCTCTTGAACTAGCATCACATTCTCTGTAATGAGCCTTCCTTTAACAAAAACACTTTGATTGTCTGACATTAATTTTGGTAGAAGAGTGTTTAACCTCCCCACAAGAATTTTGGAAATGATGTTTGTACTGAAGTTGGTTAAGGTGATAGGTCTTAATTCTGAGAAATTGGTAGGGGACTCAGCCTTGGAAATTAAGAAAATGCAGGAGTGGGAATAAAATTTTGCAAGGTTGCGACCATTAAAAAGGTCTCGACAAAAGTTACGAGATCATCCTTAATAATTTCCCAACAAGTCTGGAAAAAAGTCCCATTAAAACCATCTGGACCCGTTGTACTATGTTGACTGAGGTTGAAGACTGCCTCCCTAATCTCATTGATTTCTGAAATGGCTGTCAGATAATCATTCTCTTCAGTAGAGATGACATTAGGAATGCAGTTCAGGATCTAGTTATTCATTGTAGGAACTTGAAGATTGAAAAGTTTCTCAAAATGCTTCACAACTGCCTTGGCAATCTTGTCATCCCTTTACACCTATTTGTCTCTACAATTTTTGATTCTATGGATGTGGAGTCTTCTTCTCCTATCTCCGAGGACACTGTGAAAGTAGTTGCTGTTGTAGTCACCTTCTTGAAACCATTTAGCTTTGGATTTTTGCCTTAGAATATTTTTCTGTTAACCCAGCCATTTAACATATTCCACATGAGCTTTGTTAAGCTCTTCCCTGCAATTCTCCGAGTTATGTTGAAGGTCCAACTCTTCAAGTTGTTGTACTTTGACTTCCCAGTTATTGAACTGCTCGTATATGTCGCCAATGTTTTCTCTAGACCACTGACTGAGACTTCTGGCCAGTGTTTGCAACTTAGTCTTTAATCTCCACATAGCATTTTCTTCTACCTAAGTGCTCCATGATTCTTGAACTACTTCCATAAAGCCAGGTTGTTGTACCTAAAAATTGAGGAACCTGAAATACTTAATAACCTCTTACTTGGATGTCTATTGTTGCACCAAGTATGTTTAGGTCCCACATAGCCAATATCCAAAAGTTCACATGTTTCCATGGTGGTAACAAAGTCAAAGCTTTTGTAATCTCTATAAGGACTACCTCCCAACTTCTTTACGACTCCATAATAACATTAAAGTCACCACCCATACACCAAGGCCCATTGATAATATTAGTGATGTTCTCTAAACCTTCCCATAGAGATTTTCTTTCTGTAGCACTGCACTTAGCATACACTACCATGACATAATTGTCATCACTTATACTGTTTCCTTTGAAACAAAGAGTAACTTGTTAATCTTCATTGGCAATTAGATCTGCTTGATAATTCCAAAAGCACTAGATTTGCCCACTGATAATAGCCAAACAGTGTTGAAAATCCAAAAACCTCTTGTAACCCTCAATTTTAATGGATTTAAGAAAGGCTCAAAGATAGGTACAAAATCGCAGTTGTTTATGTTAATTACGTTTTTCAAATGATGTATGGCCTTTTTAGACCTAACACCTCTTATATTTCATAATATGGCACTAATCTTTGGAAACTTGATTCTGAGTACCCTGTTTTTGTTCCTTCCCTCTTTGGGAAGGAGTGTCTTTTGTTTTGGATTTTTTCCCTGTCCTTTTTTGTCTGTTTTTTTCTTTCCCATCTTCTGGACATGAATTTTCCTCTGTTCTCACTTTCTCTTGCGACTTCTCGAAGCTACCTCTTTGCTTGTCTTCATTGATATTTGAAGAAATTGAGTCAGCTTCTTGTTGCTCAATTCCATCCTCCTGGTTGTTAGTGACCTCTTTGTTTTGGTCATCCCCAAATAGTTCTAACACCAATTTGATAAGAGGTTGGTTTCTTATTTCTGTGTCTATTCTGCTGGAAGGATATTGATGACTGTTGTGTTCCTTTCTCCCTGTCTTGTGGCTATCGTAGGCATCCTGATCTCTTCTATCATTCATTTCGTCCTGTTCACTTTCATACTCCTTATTTTCTGAACTCTTGGTTTTCTCTTCTGGAATTATGTGTCTTTCATTGTCTATATCAGTATTGTTGCTTTCAACAACCTCTTAAGATTGATCTGCTGTGTGATCCTTAGTAGAAGACTGGTTTGCCGAGTGTTCTTCCATGGACTTGCCTGTTTGAACATCTATATCCTTCATAACTTTCTGTTGTGAATCTGCCTCACTACCCAATATTTCATCTACTATCTTTTCTATGTGTGTGTTGCTGCCTGATTTTCTTGTTGATTTCTTTGTTAACTTTGCTCTGGCCATGTGTTATAGCTAGTATAAATAACACTATACTCTTTTTCCGGGGCATGTTTTTCTTCTTGTACTTTTTCTTTTTAGAATTGGTTCTATTCTTGATGGTTTGTTCTCCTTCCTGATTATGCTCCTACATCTTCTCTTTATTTTCAACAGACTGCTCACTTGCCCTTTCTTCTATGGTGTAACGACCCAAAATTCCTTTGAATGAGTCGTGATGGCACCTAGTCTCTAAAACTAGGTAAGCCTAACACATGCCAAAATGATAACAGGTCTTACTAAATATATTTTAATCATAAAACAGAAATTACTAAATAAACCAATAGTCTCAACATGATACGGTATCCCAAAACCGGTAGTACAAGTCATAAGCCCTTCTAGAAGTAATTAGACATATTGAATACATCACTGTTCCGGAATAGAAGGAAACAATGGAAATAAATACAATAGAGGGTGACTTCGGAGCCTGCGAACGCTCCGCAGGTGTACCTTGAAGTCTCCAGCCACAAAGCATAAGTCTCAAAACCAACTCGATCCGAAGTATCTGGTTCTGCACAAAAAAATGTGCAGAAGCATAGCATGTGTACACCATAGTAGTACCCAGTAAGTATCAAGCCTAACCTCGGTAGAGTAGTGACGAGGCCAGGTCAAGACACCCACCGAACATGTAAACCTGTGCAGGATATGACATAAAGCAACAAGGAAGGAATATCAAAATAATGCAGCAAACAAAAATCAAATTACAAACTACAGTAACGATAAGGGAGACACGAATAACAACGAGAAAAAACCAACTTATTAAGCAACATAGTTGGGGTACGGATGAAGTATAAATGTGCTCGAGTAGGGAAAATGATGTCAATTCAACCAATCAAATCATTTATAGTACACAATTCCAACAATCCCACTTCTCGTAATTTCATATTATAAATCACAACTTCCAGACCTTTAACACGCATGGCACCTTGTGCCCACATCTTTCCATCTCACTTCGTACGATAAAATCCACGTGCTACTCGGTACATAATATCCGTATCAAATGCTAATTAGGATGTTCAAGAGATTTTATTTATATATCATAAAGTAAAATTACAGTTTCTAGACCAAGTAGAAAATCAATGAGAAAGATGAGTTTGTTTTAGAAGTCATTTGGGTGAAGAAAAATATTATTTTCAAATAAAATACAGCATCGAATAAGCTATCGAATTTAATATAGAATTTATTAAATTAAAACCTAATAACAATCCCTTTTTAAGTAAAATAAAAACATCAGACAGGATAAGAGATTATGTTGAGAAATCAATTGAAGTAAAATATTACAGCTATTAGAGATAGCAAGTTCCGAATAAAACGTTTTAACTTAAAAGTCACACAAGGTAGCATAATATTAATTCATTTATTCAAAATCATTATATTACTAGCAACTCACCAAGACAGGAGGTAATGACTCAACATAGTAAACAATTCACCAGAATAATAGTATTAGGAAAAGAACTCAGGAAATGACGGCAAGGCAATAAGTCAATGACAATAACTCAATCCTCGAAAAACGGTAAAAAACTTGAAGTAAAAATTCTCATAGTCTCGTACGAAAGAACCGAAGCCAAAACGATAAAATGGGGAATACAAAACACAAAATATGTAGTGGTGCACAACCCGATCCCACCATATAATATCAATATCACAATTCGCCCTTATTCCATCCTATCGACTCACCCTTATTTTACATGTTACGGCGTGCAGCCTAATCCCACCGTACAATATCAATATCATGACAATAAACAAAGTATGCTGTGGCGCGCAACCCGATCCCACCGTATAATATCAATATCATAAATCGCCCTTATTTCGCCATAATAGTACACTATTATTTCACCTGTTGCGGCGTGCAACCAGATCCCACCGTACCATAACAATATCATAATATAAATATCCTCCCTTATTTCACCACCTCCCTTATTTCACCTATTGCGGCGTGCAACCCGATTCCCCGTACAGTAATCTAAATCAACAACAACAATTCTCCATTTACAAGAATTTATACAATCAAGGGTTTCAGTACACGACACCAAAGAAACCACATAAAACCGAAAGGATACAACAAACTTTACAAAAATGACAAGACAAGTAAGGTACGTGATAACTAAGTATGCAATCACAACAATTAGGACATGTAGCAGATAAGCAAAAGATCATAGAAGAAACACAACAATTAAGAGGTAACAAGACAATAAGTAAGGCAATAACTTCAACTAAGGCATATAAGGGCCAAAAACGAGTAAGAAGTACAGCAGGTGCTAACAGCGTTAAATATAGCACGTAAAAGTAGACCAACAACGAGATATCACATGTTATGACAATTCAATTAAAGGCATGAAAAGACGCTTGACAATCTAAACTGGTCAAATACCACATATAGACCGTGTATCCATTCGTCACCTTGCGTACACGGCTTTTACATAACAAGATAGCACAATTTATTCAATTCCTAAGGGGTAGTTCTCCCCCCCCCCCA